CGGTATGTGTGCAAAACGAGCCGGCATTAGGAATGCTTCCTGGGGGAACCCATAATGGGTCTCATCCAGTAAGGGGGGGCATGTGGTGTGACAGTTCTTGCCGGCTACAGAAATTCCAATTTTTGCAAGGGGAGGGAATCCCCGGGGTGCGTGAACCATTTCGCTTAAACTTTTACACCCACCCCGGAGCTTCCCTCCCCTGAAAAAAGTGGATTACTTCATGCAATATGAACTGTCGCAGCACATGCCCCCCTTACTGGATGAGACCCCCATAATTTCTGAAGAGTTCGAATGCGGCTTGAATTTAAACAGCGTACCAAACCAAAGAGAATTGCGGCTCGTACTAAAATGCAGTACGATTTGAAAACCAATAGACCTAGAAAAATAGAATGGCACTTACTATATCATCCGTGTCATTTATTCCTCTTCCGTTCATGAATTCTACTAATCGACTCGGACGAAAGGAACCATTCGAATCTAACCAGATCACATTGAACTTAGTTTGGATGAGCGTATTTGCAACAACAGCGTAGCACAACTGCAAACCTATGGAGTAATTCAAGAAGAAAAAATCGACAATTCAGACAGAAATGAGAAAGCCACAAAAAAAATTACCTGAGTTTTTCCCGCACCCGATTCTCCTATCACCTCCGACATTTCACCAAATTGTAAGTCATTCTGCAAAATGTCATCAATTCCTTGCAATCCTGTCCGGAGAGCCAACGGAACCCCGAGTTCCACCAGTGCATCGATGCCGGTTTCATTCATTTTTACATCACATTTCCTTCAGGAGAGAAGGGTCAGGATGCTTAACGACTTGGTTGAGGATTTAAAGCCACCTCACAAAAACATTCAAAGTGAAATCTATAATTCTGAAAGAGAAGTTCTAGCAAGAACATTTCATGGTCAAGCAGCAAAATGATTCCACCATTTCTTAGATGTGACTTCAAACTCTTCTTCACAGTAATACAGAAGAAACGCATTTCTCTGCCACGACCTCCTTCTTTACCTCAATAACACCCTCGTGTATCACCGATTATGCACGAAATGAACGAAGGTCAGAGCGGTCATGCAGACTGCCCCTGTCCAGCTGAAGGTACGGGAACAGCGTCTGCGATGGTATGGGCACGTGCTAAGGAGGCCACAGGACCACCAAATAAGAAAGCGATGGACTTCGAAGCGCAAGGCAAGCGACCGCGAGGTGCCCCAAAGAGGTGGAGGACGTAATCAAGAAGGACCTAAGTGAAATCACGGCCACAGCAGATGCCCTAGACAGAGCGAAGTGGCGACGACTGACAAAGAACAGCGGACCCTGCGACTGCGCGGGACTAACGCTAAGGAGAAGAAGAAGAAGAAGAAGAAGAAGAACATTAATTTCGGCCCCGAAATACGCTCCGACACACAGTGCTTCGAATCATGACCGATATACTCTGATCTAGATCGCACTCAATAATTTAAATACCTAGCTCACATCTGTAATTCTTTCTTGTCTTCGTCTTATTCGCAAGGCCAATACCGCTATCCTTCATGAACCTTTATAATAAAATCAGTTCTTTGCTTGCCCCATGAATAAAAGCAACGATAGCTCGTAAGACTAGAAACAGGACTTGCTATCGCACTTTCGAAATTGGAAAGCACAATCGCTGGTCACTCCAAGATTTACAACATAGGTGTCAAATGTGACGCTTGAAACTAAAAAAATTGTTCATGTTGTCTGAACAAGTACAAATATAAATTACCTACGCTAAATAGCCCAGCTCATCAATGTTCCTATCTAACCTATACATTTGAAAACAGCATAGCTCAAAATCCAAATTTAAATGCGTCGTCATTAGTGAACAATAATAAATAAATTAGAATCACATCTTAATAAAATGAAAAAAACACGTTTGTAAAAATTATTCAAGTATACACACAAAGACAAATAGTTAAGAAAATACGAACATATCTTCCAGGACGAAGAACATTTAGATTAAAACAAGAACTAGCCTGCAAGAAGCCATACATAAACAATTACGCGTAAAACGACTGGAGTCGATACAATGTTAATTCAAGCAGATGAAGCTACAATTCTCATATTGCTGACTTGTAAATCGGAACGATCAGATGCTCTTGAGCCATCAGGTTGTACTTCGTTACATAGGTTGTGAAGCTGAATTATTGAAATTTTTTCGGCAGTAGTTTAGGTCAACCTTTTATCCACATTTAGGAAGATGTTGTGCGCTGTATAGCAAAGTAACGAGAAACTCGAAAATATAATGACAGAGCCAACCGCGTAATGGCCAGAGACATTATTTACGGGAAGGGCGAAGCAAGACTGAGGAGACGAAACTGAGGCGAAGAAAACCATGTGAAAGAAGGGGGGGATACAGACACGATTAGATACGTAAGTGTCGCATACCTTGACCCGTCTGCAGTTTGAAGTGAGGCCGGACATTATCTACTGCACCATCGAAAACGGTCTGCCTTCACCATCTCGAACTGCGAAAACGGTCGCAAGATCGATTATATCCTACTACCACATTTGAACTGCTACGAACAGCGAGACCGTCCGCAAATACGTACAACGGAAAGAAATGCGTTAGAGTCATTAAAGTCTGATAGACTGATATATTGAAAGTGCAGGAAAGGGAAAAATCAGAGAATTGTTTTAACAAATTCCAACGAATTCTGAGTAGCTGATTACTGTTTTCGGTGCTAACTTAGTTGGGGGGGCACGCGGCGGCGCGGCAGTCTGCTCGTCTGGCATGTTCGGAAATCCGTGGGCCAGGGGGAGTGTAGCCAGCCTAGGGGGTTGGGGGGTGGGGGCAGTCACTTGACATGCGTGAAAAGCTGGAATGTTCGAGTTTACACTGTCTCGCTCGAGAGGGCTCAGTATCAGAATTCGCGCCGCCCCCGACCCCCCCCGCCAACTAATTTTACACCCTTCCTTCCCATAAACAAGAAACTATAATAAAATAATACGATAGCTAAATGCGTGTAGTTTGTTAATACGAACCTTGAATAGCGAATAACTAGATTGTAAATCACGACAAAAACGACCGGTGCAAGATAAATACATTTTCGAACTCATCAATATTTCAGATGGAAGTAAGCATGTGCAAATCCTACACTCTGCACACAAGATCTAATTCGATAATTACATCCTTGAAGAGAAAGTTAAGATACAGGATAAATAGCTCTTAACACTGAAACTTTCAAGTTTTGAAAACCATGCAGCCAATGTGACGCCTGCGGTCTTCGACCCAAGGAACCTTGAGACCCACATTTGCATCTTACAGGCTGTTATTTTGTTTTCCGACTACAAACGTGTTATTGAAATAATGCTGCCGTTTATGTTGTCGATCACAAATCATAATGTAAACTTAAAGTAGTAAGCGAACCGCCAAAAGTCTCCATTCATTTTTACAGTTCCAAGCACGTGGTAACTGATATTTCCAATTTGCAGATGCTTGACCATAAGGAGACGCTTAAATGCCGAACAGTACAACGACAGCTGCGACAGCAACATAAATAGGTGAAAAAATTACATGGATGTAGGTTGTAAAGAGAAGATAGAGGGATGGGAAATGTTTGGAGAATGACCACACCGAAAGTCCATGGAAGAAGAGAGGATGACGGGAAAAAGCTACATACACTAAATTATATAGTTTGGGTGAGCACGATAAGAACACAGGCCACGTTGAGCTTACAAGGAGATGATCTTAAAATCACGGAACCAACTCAATGTGCCTCGCCGGCAGGGCTGTGGTCAACTATAACGGCAATCATCAACATGTTTGACAAGGATATAGTCGATTATGCAAGCACGGGCCCTAATAAACAATTTAATACAAGAGACTCTCATAAAATCGGGTAAAAGCTGTTAACAACGATTTCCAAGACCTCCTGAGCTGAGCTCCCCCTATATATACAGCTCGAAATACTTTTACATTAGAAGCACGGCTGCAACCATCAATGTTGCTTGTTAACGATAGCTGAGCCACTGCAAAGCCTCCATCACATTTCGTAAATTCGCATAAAAGTAAATTTTCTAGGGACAAAAGCCTACCTCCTTTGGATTTTTATGCGCAGCACAAAGGAATATCCACTGTTCCGTCGCTGTCATTTGAATACACGTTTCAGGGTTGCATTCTTCCTTGAAACAGACCAATCAATTGTGTACTTAATGCCGAATAACATGAGCATTTCCGAACACAGAAAGTCTACAAAGCGAACAGTACACGCGACACTATGTATCAACACCCTTTCTAAGAAGTCCGAATTATGAATCTCCATCGTAAGATCTTGCAACACAATCCCGTCAACGATAGCATTTAGGACATCTCTAAGATATGGAGGTGCATTGCTTGTGCAGTCAATCTCTTACCTGGAGTAAACAATTACCACCTTCCCCCACACATTTGTAACTTCGTATAGCATACATTTCAACAGTTCATGGGCCGAATTCTGCCCGGAACGATTGAAAGATTATGAAAAATGTAGCTCAGAGCGGTCGAAAGAACAGCATACCTGCAGCATAAAGGCCAGTCCATTAAGTTGTAAGCAGAACTGGCGAAGGTGTTCATATTTCCATACGCCATCATCCAAATCGGGAGGAGGGGTAAGAATCAAATCTGGAAGAAACAGCTATCAAACAACTGCAAATTGACTACTAGTCATTATAACGTAATGCTGTGAAAAGACTGTTTTTTGTACCTATGTCAGCAGGATTTTGTTGGATGGTCTGCTGTATATATTGCTGAACGTTCAGGGTTGAATCCATGTCGTCAAACGCCAAAGGTGGCCACTTACACCAATCCTAAAAAAGTATCTTTTTAGTACAAAGTTAACTAGGAAATTAGCAAACCTAACGACTCTTAAAGCTTCGATTTTCTGTTATTAAAAAACGAAAAAAGCTTTATTATACCGGATTATAAGTGGCGCTGAGATTGCTAAGTGGCCGGACTAATTTTTTCAACTACTGAAATCACATATAGTACTTTTCCACCAGCTATCTCCTACACAAGATTCCGGGTCTAGATCACCAACACGGGGCAATTTGGTACAGGAGCTCGTGCGAATTACGGCCACTTCGATTTCGGAGGAAAAGGGAGTGGGCGAAGTAATTTTCTTCTATTAGAAGGAACATAGGTATTCACATATTACTGCTCCTATATGTTAATTATCAAAGAAGATGTTTGTCAAACTTCTAATTGAATTGAGGTGCTTCGCACAAATGTTCTTCCGTAGGTTGTTTTCATACTTTGCGTAGGTGCGTAACGTGCGGAAGGCGGGGACATCGTGGAAAGCGCGGAGCGCGTTCGGACGCCGAGTATGAGAACAATTTTGATGACATAGACTATAGGTTCTTCCCTAGCAAAAAAAGCAGGTATTCTTTCCTTGCAATTAGGTCTTGATCTAAGCAAGTATACAATTCATGAATAAAGTGAAAACGAACATCTCTCTTTGTGCCTGGATCGTTTCGACGAAAAATACGTGGTTGTTCAGCCGTCTGAACTGTCATCGCAGAAAGTCTGCAATACTTCTTCTAGTATAAGCGAAAGGAAAATAAAAAAAGGCATTTACTGGATCGACACAAGAATTAATTCTGATCAAAACTCACAAAAACAAAAGAGACAAGGCAAGAAAAGCAAATAAGGACCCATTTTAATAACCTGAAAACCACGAACAGTGGAGTTTGATGAGTGTTGAGGTCAGCAGAGAGAACCGGATTCGCGCTGACGCTAGCGGCAGGCTATATGCGACAAAAAATGGGAGAGAATGTGTTCGCATCCTCCCTAGCGGATCACGTTAAACTTCAAAAGAGTTTTGAGATGGCTCTCCACTTCTTCAACCTAACTTCAAGAGGACCCAACGGAGAATAACGCGGAGCTGAGTAATAACTGACGGTAATCATGAATATGGTACTAATTATTCATGCTAACTCCATTTTGCGCGAATTTTGAAACGTCAACTCGAAATGCAAAAATTTGTCACCACGAGGAATCGAACTAGGGACCCCTTTTCTGGTATTCAGAGGGCCGTTCAGGAAAAATGAACCATGGTTCTGTGGTTCCCCCATGTCATGCAAGAAACCATTTTGAAAAAGCTTGGCACACCCTGAACGACCTCCCTTGAAAGTGACCCCACCAACAAGCGGGATAGACGCTAAAGAATAAAAGAAGAGACTGGGCAAGTGGTCTAAGATGGTCTAAGCATATGAAAATAACTTGGATCGACGTTGCTTGAGTAGATACGCCTCACTACGGCCTTTTCGGATGTCCCACTACACTACATACTAGTTGAGCTTTGAATTTTCACACATGGTCACTGTGAGGCTTTTGCTAGCATGCATACTAACTCTTTCAGAAGACCTAAACACAGCCCTTCTCGGGCATTCGATTGGAATTGTGTGATTATACAGAGGGGCTAACGAATACGGCGATCGGGTGTGCAAATCTGGCGAGAGAATCCGGCAATGTCACAGCAAAATCGTTTTGCGCTTGACGATTTGCGCCAGTCTTACACCCATTTGGAAGAGGCCTCCTACACATGGCAGGCCACGGTGTTCCTCCATAAAGAGCTGCTTCTTGTCCTTATGGCGAATTAATTTGGTTGATGCCATAAGGATCTTCCAATAGCAGAGGGAAACATGATGAGTATCGAAAATTTCTGTCGGCCACATGTCAATGAGAAAGGTATTCACTGGTGTGATTACACCTTTTCAGAAGTCTCATCAACAGTACAAGTTTTAGATAATCTTTTCAACAAAATAGACAACAAAAGCAATAAAACGATGCAACATACGCATTACAAAAGAACAACAATTACCGGCTACTAGATACATTCTAAGACAATTGACAAAGATCCTTGTAACCAGATAATTGGCACCGCCTGAGTTACCCCGCAGCAGATTCGCTGCCTTGTAATGCGAAAAAAAAAGTTAGAAACAATGCAAAGCCACTCCAGAAAATTTATATAGGAATGCGTTTCATTCCGGAACACAAGAAGGTCTGTTCAGGAAATTTCCACCTCTCCTTCACGCACTTCCTTCAAGCTTAGAATCTCCAGTCTTCCATGACCTTTGCTTTCGTTGCGAACCAATTCATCTGTCGCTCGGAAACTGCCCGGCTCAATTAATCCAACCTGAATTTACAAAGGAATCTAATTGAAAAATACAAAGTTCTGCAAATATACTAAGAAGAATAAACGCAAATGAGATTGAAAAAATAAAGACTACATTGGGGTTCAAATCAAAAGTAGTGACAACATATTGCTTTGTGAATTGAGAAAAACGCCTCACATTTATTATTGTAATCCTTAAAAGGAGCTCAGAAGTGTTCTGCAAAAAATCGGTCCATTCGGCTGCATAGAAGCAACAATTTTCAGGAACGTTATCCTGTTGGAAACGAACATTCGAAGTGATTTCATTGACTGTCGGATGATCTTTTCTGTTCTACCTCGCCGGACGGTCTGCCATATATATTTCTCAAGCGGGCTGCTGATGGGCTAACTCCGGCTTTGACATATCTTTTCAACAGGATACTCCTTCAAGGGGCGGTACCCGACATCTGGCGCCTCGGGCTAGTTAGGCCAATACATAAAAAAGGAAGTAGGAGCGATTTCAAGAATTACAGGCCAGTGTGCCTCACCTTCATCTGTCAGTAAAGTGATGGAAAGGATCGTATGCGATCAACTGAGAAGTTTTCTTATATCGAAACGTATTTTATCACCATGCCAGCATGGTTTCATTCCTAGAAAGTCAACTGCTTCAGCGCTTCTTTCTGTCATCCCAAAATGGCAGCACGCTATTGACAAAAAGAAATCTGTTTTTGCCGCATACATTGATTTTTCTAAAGCATTCGACTCGGTACCCCTACCCCTTCTATTCTGGAAGTTGGAGCAATTCGGAATAACCGGCTGTCTTCTCAAGTTTATGAAATCATTCTTTTCCTACAGGCACCAGAGGGTTGTTCTTAATGGTTCGTGTTCTAAAACATATCAAACTGACATGGTGTTCGTATCAAGGTATGCTAGGACCTTGGTGTTTCGTTCTTCCCATTAAGATGCTGAGCGTCTTCCTTTGGGATTCAGGTTCTATTGTAATACTGCATGACATCAAAGGTTTACCTATGATCAATCCTTGCCCTGATTTTGCAATCGCCGCTGGATATCATACCGAAGGGATGTGCAAACAAGATGGGATCGCTATATCATTGTATCAAAACATATGCTTGATGCTAGCTCTTCCTTCTCCCATTATTACTAATTTTTCTCATAAATGAAATTTAGAATCTTAAAGAGCCAGATGTGATTTGCGACTTGGGCGTCTTTATTCCCGCTCTCTAGATTTTAGCGATTATATTGTCAGAGTGGTACGCCTAGCGCGTTGTAGAGCTAACTTTCATTTTACGCGCTTTATCTACAAGAAATATTAAAACGCTATTCCAACTCTTTGTCACCTACGTGCGCCCTATTTGGAATACTGCCCTATGTTATGAGTCCTCTCTCGTTCTATGGTGGAATCCCATTGTAGGAGCTGCTTCAGTCTAGTTTCACGAGCGAATTTTTATGGTCTCGCGCAAGAATTGTCATGTTCCGTACAAGGACAGGCTCAATCTCCTTAGGGAAGACTCACTCGAAATGAGACGCAAACTTTATGATTATGACTTCGTTTATAAGCTCTCTGCTGGATTAGTGGATCTGGACTTTGGACGCTCTATTTACAAACTCTTTAACGATCATTGCTTTAACACATTGACGACCGCGCGCGTTTTGGCTTTTTTGGCCGTGTGGGACCGGGCCGATTTTGCGAGTGCGACCGCCGCACCTCGGATCCGTGAATTTTTATTGATAACTTTTTAAAGCACCAGTGGTACAAAAACATCTCAGTAACAGTCAATGCGTAGAAGGTAATAGAGTATATAGTGACGAAGTTCCGATTAAAGAACATGTAATGGTAATGAAAAAGGAAACTTTAGTCATTTTATCTGTAGTGGATGCCAAAAGCTCTTTTGATGTGGTTATACCAAGTGAAGCATGTATTTTTCTGTCTCTTAGATTTGCATTTACTTTCACTACCCTTTTTTATTGACGTGTTCATGAGAATAGCATGAAAACTATTAATGAACCAAGCCGCCGGTTTCGGTGAGCTTGGAAAACTTCTTCTAAACTGGAGCATATTTGAACAAACAATGACCTATGTCGTTCACAATAATGTTATGTTCTAATCCATAGAAGAGAGACAAACAATTCGGGAAAAAGCTGCGCATGCCCTAGAAAAAGGGATGATAAGGGTGAGACGCGGTAACGCGTCTCAATGTCCAACGAGGTGCGCAAAGTGAGACGCGTTACCGCGTCTCAATGTCGTCAATGTGTTAATCACCGCTTTAGACTTTTTGAAGATAAAATAAATTTCCGTGGCGCAAAATCCGAGATATCTTTCACGCAAACATGATTAACGTTGAATATGGTCTGCCGCCCTCCGTCATCACGCTCTTCTATTCATTTATATAGTAAAGTCAAAAGATTTTTAAATCACATCAAGGTGGTTTTAAAGATATCAGGAAATCTATACCTTGAGAACTCTGAAGAACACAGAGCGAGTATTTTCATCTGAACTGTATCACCAGTGGTAAATTATCGAGGCGTTGTGTTGTCTTCTGTTTATTTATTTTTTTTTATTGAACTTTCTATAACCTGCCCTGCCTCGAATCTTGAATAGGATCTCGTCAAAAGATTGGCGCGACCTACTGACTATGTATCCGGTTTAGTTTTCACTCGTGGCACTTCTGAACTGCAGCGTTAGCGCCACTTGCCCCTCGGCGCCGATATTCCCCCCCCCTCCATCGAAGTATCTTTATGTGTATTTTCTTTTTTATATCAGCGTTTTTGCTTTACTTGGTCTGCAGTTTATTTACTTAGAGATGCGCATAAGTAGATCTTTAATACATTAATACTTTTTTCCTTAAGAACAAATGCTCCCGCGCGTATGTCTTGTTAAAATCAGCGATTTCCGTGATTCAAGACCCATTTAGAAAGGCCTACCATTTCGAGTCCTCCCTCGGCCCAGTCCTCTAGCTCCAGTTCTGAGAACAGGGCTTTCAGGCGCGAATGCGTGATTTTAGCTTCATGCGATGGCATCGCTATGCGTATCCTCATTTTTGCACGCTCCAAGCGAATAGCTTCACGGAGCATAGGAATCGCCTCCAATGCCTGAAAACGAAAAAATAGAGGTAGAAAAATACGCAAAAAAAACCAACTGAGTTTACTTGCTGCTTTGCACTTCTGTTAGGCTTCAGTGAGAAATGGAGTTCATGAAGCGCTTTATCGATCACAGACGTGGGAATAGGACGTTTCGTGTCCGGATTCACTACCATTTCCGCAATCAGCTGCGATACCTGAAGAAGGAACCCATATAAAAGTTCCGTGACACCCGCTGATAAAAAAAACGATCGAGTTCTCTCTCTGAACCGTATAACTTCTTCTCAACAGGGTGCTTTGTTGCACATCTTTCAAGAACACACACAATTACCACTGGGCATTCACCATGTGAATATTCTCGGCTGCAGATTGCAGAGTGTGTGTACTCAGAGATAAGGATCAAAAGAAAAACAAGAAAAGCAACGAAATGAGCCGAGAAAAACAATTAATCCACCTCTTTATACGTTTGATCCGTTTGCGCCTGACGTTCCTTATCGGATACTTGTAAGTCTCCCTTCTCTAGGATCTAAAATATTATGGTTTCAAGAAATTGAAGCTTTCGAAGCACTTTCCAAATTGTACCCGAGCAGAAACATCCTGTTCAGGGTATATGCTAGAGCAAGAGAATGTTATTGAAACAATGAGAATGATACATACAATTTTACAGATCTCTAATTGATCTTCGGTGCCAAAAGCTGCTGCCAATTCGTCCTTCTTTGCTACTTGTCCTTTTGACACATTCGAAAACACCGTTTGAGTTTGCAACACTTCATCAATATTCTTCTCTCTGCAAACAATTCTCGAAATATCAGCACTGAATTATTTACTCAGCCGACCAATAACCGGCATCATTGAAGGAAAATACTGGTGCACCCTTTCCTTTGCTACAACAACAAGCTGATCACAGGTGAACAAAGAAACCGTGATCAACCGCCTGGTATCCTCCCATTTCCTACCAAGCAAGAAAGGAAATTATATACCAGGGCGTGCCTTATTCGATTTTCAAGGTCAAAGCGACCGTAATGAAATTTACACTTATCATTCATCTAGTTCTAGATTTATTAGAGAGAAATAGTGTCCCATGATTTCAGTGTAGAAGACCAAAAATACCCCTCTTAGAAGCGCTCTCTAGCAAAAATAATGGTGGGAGTTCGAGGAGACATTAGGATCGTCGAGTAACTGCTCCAATCGTTATAACATAGGTCGATTAGAACATCCCTGTTTCGCAAACCACTCTCAGAATACAAGCTCCTTATACTGCTTTACATAGACATCGGCACTACATTGATGTAAAAGTTTTCTTCAACGAAATCTTCCACGAGCATGGTAGCAGTCTTGGCACCCCTTTGGGAATCTGACCAAGGCGATCTTGGCGAATTAATATTTAACAAGGCTTCCTCCATCTTCGTGAAAAATTCTATGAAGAAAAACCAACCAAACGACGAACTTCTCAAAAGACCCACGTTTTATTCCTCCAATTGACGACCTTGTTCTTATAGCAGGGCAATCTACGAAACGTTACCCATCTTCTTCATGCCACATTGGTGAGCAGCTTTTGATTTGTAGGTGTTTTTATATTCTTTGACATCTGAAATAACCCGATCAAAATCGACCAAGTAAACAATTCCACACGCACGAACGTACATACAAAGAAAACCTAACTTATCAAAACTGCTAAAAACGTCAAATTTCATCGAACTGCTGAACTACGATACTGTATCAAAGGAAGCTAACTGCGTTATATACAATGGAACACGTTTTCAATCCAAGCCGAAGTGAATAGATTTCTGCAAGTTACATTCCAAACAGTTCCAGTTGCGCCAAACATTAGCTTTACTAACTGAATAGTTCTTTTGATTTGACACTCATACATCCACTCATGTTTTCTGGCAAGCCCAAATCACAAATATCGCATATGCAATGACATATCTTCACAGAATTAGTAGGTGGTTTGAGACTCAGATAGATGCTGAACAACAAATCAAATAGCCGCGACTGGCAGAATGCAAAAGTAATCGTCGAACAGTAACCCAGGTACTCTTCTTGCCGCTGTTGGAGGAACAATGCAGACCACACTTTTTGGTGGGCCTGTTTGACCTCGTATCATAAAAGGGGCGAGGCCAAGATAGATCGTCGTCCCAGACGATGAGACTATTGCGATCGATGGGGATCGTCGTTGTAGACGATGAAAGGAATTCCAACTCTAGCTAACCTTGTATGCAGTAGGGAAAGCTGCTAAACAATAACAAGTACTAATCTATTGCAGTAGTCTAGCCTATCTAAAACAGACAAAAGGACAAAAACTCTGGCGATTAAACGTTTGCGATATAGCTGCTGAAGTAAAAAAAAAGTGCTTATTGCAATGCAGCTCTATTAAAGTAAGACTTCGTTTCCTCCAATATCACTATCTAGAGCGAGTTTGTGGAACCAGAAGAAAAAGGTAAAGTATAGGGTGGCCAACACATTTCCTTCACTTAGGAGGGGAAAGACCTCTGGACGATGGAGTATTGCAGCATCTTTTTTCTTAAAGTGTTTTCATCAATAGTCGTCTACCCTTGCATAATTTTGTGCGATAATATAAACGAGCCGCTCTGGAACAAGCAAAACATACACAGATTGAGCACAACGAGTCCCCTACGGAAGGAAATGTGGTCCACCGGCGGCCACGAAGACCTCAATGGGAAAACAAAGCCGTTCTATAGCCCATTTTGCTTTTATATTTCAGGAGGAATTATATGGAGGAGTGAATCCTTTGGCCAGGCGTTGATCGATCTTTTTCGGAAAGTGCCAGCCACGCCACTCCATTCACTCCATTCAGAATCGTGAGAACACGTTGAATGCCATTTGGCTTACAAACCGTGCAGCGGTCTCTTGATGTACAAGACCGTAGTTTCATCCATCAGATAAATGTAGCACCAATTTGCTGACCGCTCTGGGCATCACAGGTCTGGGGATATAAAACTAGTAAAGCGAAAAACACAGAAAACGCAAGTCAAGGACAGCCTGTTATTCTGTTCCTGACAGCCAAATTGCTTCAAGCTTATGATATAGATTGGAAACGAATCCGAAAAACAGGCAAACTTCGACAGACGAGGCAAGTGGCACAGCAAAGCATGTGGAACCACAAACACACTCTCGACGCAATTACCCTCGCCTTCAAATGACCAGAAATTGTGCAATTGCAGAAATTGACGTGGCATTAACGTGGCATCGATTCAAGAACATCTTTGAGCACACGTGATGTCACCTTTTCATCGAGAATTTAGCCACGTGTGCCACAATGCCACGTCAATTTCTGCAATTGCACAATTTCTGGTCATTTGAAGGCGAGGTTTACGTGGGCAGGACTAGCAAGCAGCGGGGTTTATTCGTAAACTGCCTCAAAACTTGCCTTCTCATATTCTTGACAATTGTGGAAGGTTAAGACCAAGGCCCATCTCTCGAAAACCAATAATACAAGACTTCTTTTTTCGAGGCTGGTATGTCCCACGAAGTTTTCAATCCCAATCTGAGTCCTGACATATAAACAAAAAACAAATAGGTATCGTTTGCGGAATTTCACCAACAAATAAAAACACTGCCACACCATACTCCATAAACATTTTCATCGAATTCAAATCATTGTATACAAAGTAACCAAAAAACATCAAATACACATTGGTTACTTCTAAAGCTTTCTTGACTCACATCATTACATCAAGTGCACATCGTGATTATCTTCACCGCACAAATCGATAAGGTGATCTCAATTAAACGCTTCTACTAACACACACAGTTTTTAATAGCTTTTCACTACCCATATCATTTTTTCTTTACAATTCAAATTTTAGGCGATTTTTCCACATCTATAATAATGTACATACAGCGAGGTCTACACCGAAAAGATATGACCGTCTAACGAGAGTACAACATATCGACAGCAAAGCACACTAGACATATCACTATGTAAAAATGTTTAGTTCACGAACGAATCAAATAATACCCCAAACGAGTAGGCGTTGATAGATATATTGATCTGACAAAAGGCTCTGGAAACCATATCACAACGCCTAGCGATCAAAAAGTGCCATAAAACCGTGATCATTTATTAGTTTGTAGTCACGTACAGCTGACTACAATCGATTATTCACATCGAACGCCTGAAACTCGCTATTGTGCGAGTCTGACAGTCGTCGTCAGCTGCCCGTATCTGCCTACTCACATAAATGACAACACACCGTAACAAGCTCAACACTGAAGTCTCAGCTTTACGTATAAAGAGCCATATCCCATGACAGAACTTTGACAGTCCCCCACTCTACTGCGGACGGTGCTGCATTGTCATTTCTACTATTGCGCAGCTATAATTCGAGATTACAACTCCCTTTTCCAGCATGAATGCACGGACACGGTCAGCAGGCCAGTAGGCTTAGCAGCACGATGTCGCGGAAATGAGGCAAGTTACTCCTGCTCGAACGACGATGGAACGGATTGACGTCTTCTATTCATCGTGGGGTGTGGTTCACTGGGACAAAAAGCGACTTTTTCGCTTTTCGCACGCAAAACTTTTTTCGCAGCGGAACGCAGCGGGAACCTCAGGTCCACCGCTGGTCCTGGGGTTCCTACAGCGAAAAATGCGCCAAATATTCGCTTTTTGTTCTAGTGAACCACACCCTGACGACGTACTCAAAACGACTTTCACACATCTGTAGGAGTGTCATTGAATTTGGGAGGTAAATTAGTCCAAATCCCAGCCAGGAGGTCATCCTTACGTGTCGATTATGAAGAGCTACAGCTCCTGAATTTAGGTTTAGGGCGCATCCCGATGCATGGTAATTTCATGTGCAACTTGCTCGGGCCATTTCTCCAATGACTCAACGCTATCAAGAGCCATCAGAGCCAAAACCTACCCGCGTCGGAAAAGGGAGGGCAACCAAAGTAGAGTAGCTTGTTGAATAGAACAATTTTTAATATACATCGAGGCACCCGGATAACTCATTATTTGCTCTTATTCCATTACCGCTGATTTGTAGCCTTTTCGAGCAAAGAACTTCGAGGCCAGACTGGGCTAAAGCACACTTTTCCATCGCTGACTATGTACGTATACCATTGCCTTTTTCCCTATGTACAAACGATACCAAAGACCCGATTGCAAAATTTCGAAACGCAAAATTGCTGCTGAATATTCAATAGCAAGCAAAGTTTGCTGCGCTCGTAGTCCTCACAAAAAGACAACAACCCGAAAACGCTAATTCCAGCGCGAATGCATCTCAACTGTAAAACCCATGCTTCAAAGTGCTTCCCTCCAACTCTGTCCTTAGTTATGACTCCTTTCAGCAAAAAAATCATACACGAAAGGAAAATAATTCGAATGTAGGAATCACATGTCAATCCGGCAACATTAATTGAACCTTAGGAAGAGTTTGAAGTTCCAACACATATTCGGTTAAACGCGAGCCATCCACTGGGCGTTTCACTAGGCGCCAATGAAGACCGAGTTTGTGATAGAGACAAATGTTCTCGTGATCCAATGTCTTTTCGACGGCTGTCACTGTCTGAAACGAAAGAGTACTGCTTTATTTACGAGAACTACAGCTTCGGTGTGCATAATAACCTTGATTATTCCTAGCAAATTCTTTCCCTTCTTTATTTTCCCGAATCAGCCCCAAATTGTGTGATCTATAAAGGGTTTGGTACCCATTACGCTCCGCTAACGATATAGCGTACTTCCCTCCCAGATCATATTCCTCAGGACGGAGCAAAAAGGATCAAAAAGGACGATGATGAGAAGGGTGAGAGGAACTCATGAGCATTCGCAATCATTCAAGTTGAGC